TTTTTCAGAGGTTTAAAGGGACTGCAGGCGAAACACAAACTTTGTTTTTCAGACGTTTAAAGGGACTGCAGGCGAAACACAAACTTTGTTTTTCAGAGGTTTAAAGGGACTGTAGGCGAAATTTCAACTGACAGTGGCATGTCAGATGAACAACGGTGCACTTAAAATATTTCTTTAACGCATAAAAATGCCAACTTTCAATTGTTGTCGTTAAAACTGACTTTTTATAGCTTCTTATAACAAAAAAATTAGAAAACGAAACAGAACTCTTTGTTAGAAAAGATCAAACCAAGAAACTTGTTTTTATTGTTGCGTATTCAAAATAATTAATGATAAAAAATAATATTAGATATATCTCTTCCATAAGTCTTCGAAGCCTTGCGTAAGTTTTTAAATAAATATTTTTCATTCAGATTTCGTAATGATAAAACTAATGTTAACAAGTGTTAATTACTTGCAGTTACAGTATTATTAAATGACGTTATACTACAGGGTGTCCCACGAAACATGACAGTATGCAGGACGACTTGAATGTCGTCTTGATTTTTGATATAATACAAAGACGACTTTCAAGTCGTCTTCCTATTGTCATGTTTCGTGGGACACCCTGTATCTAATCAAGGAGCTTCTGGTCATTTAAATGTATAAATCGATCACTCGCTTAATCTGTGATATAATAAATTGCTCTTTCAGTTTAAGGATTCATCAATCAATAGTTAGCAGATAAATCGGTCTTATTTTCACAATCAGAGAAAGAGTCAATTTCTCAATCCAATTACCGATAAGCCAATTGCTTTACGGATAAACCAATCAATTGTTTAATTAGTTAAGGATTAATAAGCAATATTCTCACGCAACAAAATTAGACTTAACTAATCTAAAATTTCTTAACTAATTTCTCAGTCAATCACGGGAAAATCAATCAAATTGTTACATTGCGCATTAATTTTACTAGGTCTAGTTAACTGGCTCATTCACCTAACTATTTAATCAGAAAAATACTGTATCAGCTTCTTCATTTATGTAATGCATTGATTATTCGATCAGCTAACGTAAGAATTGATCCATTTTAATCAATCAATTCATTATTAGATTAATCGATTATTGGACTGAATTACCTCGCAGCCAGCACCAGGTGCATCTCCAACCCAGTTAGGTGGGGGACCTCCGTACTTCCGCTGACCTACATCCGTATGCTCTCATCAATATGTATGTAGGCTAGGGCTAATATTATGGGACTAGAAGCGTAATTTCAAGTGACCCCATCATGCTAAGATGGCAATGCCCGATCAATTTTCAACGGCACCCTTGAAAACTTAATCAAACCGAAAATATGGAGTTTCTCCATTCCCTTATCTTATCTTATCAACAAGAAATGCGCAAGTCACTTTCGTAGAGAAACCCTAAATGAAAATGAACATTTTTTAAAGAAACAAAAACATTGATCATCAAATTCATACTTGATCAGACAAAGCTTTTAAGGGTACTGTTGTAAATCAGACATTGCCATCTTTGCAATGAGGTTCACTTGAATTTACACATAGTGCCCTTATAAAAAAAATGAAAAGTTTTGTCGAAAAACATTTAAAAATTCTTTAATAAACAATAAATATGAGTAATTTTAAATTTATTATATTTATCTAAATGTTCTTGACGTCGCTTACTAATAAATGGAAAACTGTAGCTGATAAGATTGCTTCATTAAAAAATAATAATATGCTAAGGATTAGGCATGTGTATAATAATTTTAGTGGATGTTATAATGTTATATTTTTTAATGGATAATTGATCAATTTTTCGATAAGGTTGTTACAGTGGAAATACTGTTTAAGCCTCCCCTCACATTCATATTTTTAGTTCGACGCAGTTTTGAACCCAAATGACACAGCCTTTAGGCTCCAGATCCTAAATAATTTGGCTCCTGAATCCGGATCCGCAAAATTTTGGCTCCTGAATCCGGATCCGCAAAATTTTGGCTCCTGAATCCGGATCTTCAAAATTTTGGCTCCTGAATCCGGATCTATCACTCAAAACATGAAGAAAAAAATTGTTTTCCTCTCAGAACTAAAGCTTTGAATAAAAATGAATGTGGCTAGAAATTGCATAAAATTGTTAAAGGATGAGGCGTCTAGTTTCCTGTGGTAACATCTAGGCTGTATCCAGTTCTATCCAAGATCTCACGAATTCGATCCTCATCAGGACCCTAAATAAACAGGGGTATATAATTTCAAAAATTTGAAAATAAGCCGAACATGATGGGAGATGCAAGAAAAAGGAGAAAATGGAGGTCAAGAAAAAGGAGAAAATGAAGGTCAAGACAAAGGAGAAAATGGAGGTCGAGAAAAAGAAGAAAATGGAGATCAAGAAAAATAGAAATGTCAAAATAATTGCAGTAGCTATCATCTAATATTATACTCAGAATTTAGTTAAAATCAAAAAGAATTAAAATTTAAAAATAAATATGTTAAAAAAATAAATTCTTCCTCTTGATTTTAAAGATTTACATTACAAGGGAAGTTTTTCGTCATTTTTGATACTATTTTCATCTGAAAATTTATTATTTTCCCCTATAAATGATTTCAAAATTGGGTGGAAATAAATAATATTTTTTAAGAAAATTTACACCCCTGAAAAAAAACATTTTCGTGCAATTATTCAAGTTATAAATCATTATAAATTTCTTCTTCATAAGAAGAGAATTAAAACAAAACCTTATATGTTGATTTTTAAGGATTTTTTTTCAAAAATATGTTCAAAATAACAGGTGTTAAAATACTTCTAAAAAAGCAAATAAGCGACTAATTTAAAGTTTAATAATTTGAGGCTTCTTGTTTCTTGCAATACAACAAGACTTCATAGTTATCATAAAAGCTTCAACAACCGTCGTTTTCTGCTTCCAAGCGTTTTCATTTTGTAAAAAATCTTTATCGTTACCTTAGTATGTATAGGTGCTGAACCACTATTTACAACTCCGGCTCTACTTTTCTGCCTATAGGTCTTCATTACCCCGATGTATCAAAATATAAATTTCATAAGATAAACTTTGTTCTCTTAAACCTTGAAAATATGTTAATTATTACAATTATTACATATGAAAAAATTATTAAATCACTAAATTAATTTCTTTAAGACATACAAAAAATCAGGGGGGGGAGATTAGGGGTTTAAACTAAATATTACCAGATTAGATTCTAGAAACTGTTTGAGGACTGCCAGGGCCCCCTCCACAGGGAATTCTTTGAGTGCATCCAGGGCCCGTTGGTCCAAATCTTCGTGGCTCAGTTTCCCAGTCTAATAACATCAAATTGTTTAATAACCAGTATCTAGATGTGAAACTTACTAAGAAAGTATCCTTCAATACCCAGTATCTAGATGTGAAACCAACAGAAAGTATCCTTCAATACCCAGTATCTAGATGTGAAGCCAACAGAAAGTATCCTTCAATACCCAGTATCTAGATGTGAAACCAACATAAAGTATCCTTCAATACCCAGTATTTAGATGTGAAATTATCTACAGAGTATACTTGGATACCCAGTATCTAACAAACTTTAGAAAGTATCTTGAAATGAAACTGAATACAGGGGTGTATCAAATCTGCAAAATTGCAAAAGTAAAATTTGTTTCAATTTTACAGTTTTGAAAAAAAAAAAAGAATCATCTTTTTGTGGGGAATATTTTTGCTATCAAATCATACTTTTCATCGCAATCTCGTAATAATATCAATGATTTTTTCCGCTAATAGGGCAAATGTGTGGCATAAACCATTTAAAGAAAATGTTTTAGAATTTACATGGTTTAGTATTGTCCAATTAGCCATTTCTGAGATAATTTGATTTATCAAATAAAATGAGATTATTTTGCAAACATACATGAAAATTTTTCAATTTCAAATCTTCTAAAGAGCTTCATTTTTTAAATTCATTTTTTTTGAAATTTTTTATTCAAGTAGAGTTATATATATACAGCCTTAACCAAATTTTTGATGAATGCTTTATAAATATTAACCATGGCACCTGTAAAGGAAAAATGCGTTTTTTTCTTCCGACAATTCTGAAAAAGTTGAAATTTCCCATTTCGTTGAATTTTGAACCCTCAGAACTTTTTTATCTGACAAGCAATCTTTGTTTTTGTGTTTTTCCCTGAATAAGCTTGGTACTAAAGATGTCATATTAAAAAAAATCAGCAAAATTCGGGACAACTTTTTGTTTCAAATTGTCCGGCAGTAGAACCATCGTGCCCCTGCACCCCCCCCCCCCCCCC